GGCGTCAGCGGGGACTCGTCCGAGGCCGGCGAGCTGGTGGCCGGCGCGGGCGGGAAGACCAGCATGGGCGGCCGGTGCGGCAGCAGGTTGGGGAAGGGCGCGGGGATGTCACTCGTGTCCCGCGGGGCGGGGGCTGGGGCCAGGAGCCAGGAGCCGGCGCCCGGGCCACAGCCCTCCTCGGGCAGGAAGTACTTCATCTCCTCGTAGACCGACTCCCCCTGCTCCGGGCTGTGGGCTTCAGGGCCCCCGGGCCTGGCCGCGTTCCCCACCATCTCGATATACACCGGCTCAGTATCGTCGTCGTCATCGTCCTCTGGGGGCAAGGGCAGGTGCAGTGGCAGCTGTGGGGTGCACTGAGGTGAAGTCCTTGGTGCGCTTGGGGTCCCTGGGACCTGGCGTGCACCCACCTGGCCAGCCACGCCTGGGGGCCGTGGGCCCCAGATCTCCTCATAGGAACCACTGAGCTTAGTGTTGGGGCTTCTCTTTGGCTTTCGTGGGGGGATCTTCTTCATGGTGCTGTAGTCATCGCTGTGGGGCCTGGGCCTTGTCAGAGCTGGAGCAGGAAGACAGAGGACGGTTAGCAGGTTGCTCAGTGAGCCAGGACTAGGCTCAGCTGAGTTGTCCTTCCCAGGGGTCCTAGCCAAACCAAGGCTGCCCAGGCCACCAGGGATGCTTTGGTGCAGGCCTGGAGGGACCCCAGAGCCCACCCCCCGGACCCTCACCTCAGGGCACACCCTCGTTTGGCCTCAGTGTGGACTGCGAACAGGGTGACGTCATCCTCCAGCTCAGAGGAACAGAGCTCACAGGTGTGGTTCGTAAACCCTGCGCTCAGCCGGGGCTCACTGTGCTCAGAGGGATGCGGCTCCCCACCCCCGGGAATGAAGTCCGTGAGGCGGCCAGATCTGCCGCAGCCCAACAGCATCAAATCCCAGATGTGCCGTTGCCTAGGTCACAGCCATGTTCCAGGATGTGCCAGCGGCCGGCCCGCACAGAGCAGTCCCCTGCCCCATTCATGGCGTTAGGACCTCAGAGCTGTTCTGGGGCAGGAATAGTTTCACAGATGTGTGGCTGGTGGTGTTCTGCCTCTTTCAGCACCTCGACCCGGGTGTCTGGCTGCCGAGTGAGGGCGGTGTGGAGAGGATGGCTGCACCCGACCCTGAGGCCCCGCCTCGTGGCCACGCGGCTCCTGTCTCCCTCCACAGGGCGTGTGGACGGGAGAGGCCGGAAGGCCCGCGTGCTCCTGCTGCCGCGCTCAGGCGTCCCGCCCAGGACATCAGGGACACAGAGTGTCCCAGTGAGCAGAGCCTGGTGCCCCTGCGCTGCAGAGCGCTTTGTTCCGGCACACGGGCAGGTGCACAAGGCAGACGTCGGTACTGGGAATGGGCTGCAGCCAGAGAAAGGAGAAACTCAGCCAGGCGTGGCGGTGCTCACCTGTCATCCCGCGCCCTGGGAGGCTGAGACAGGGTGATCACAGGATTGAGCCCCACGGGGGCAGTTCTGTGACTTACTGAGACCCCGCCTCATGGTAAAAAGTTGAAAAGAAGTGATGTTGCTCAGGGTGAAGGCCCTGGGCTCAACTCAGCACCGCGAGGGACAGACAGGATGGGTGCCTGTGGTGTGGCTGGGGAACCCGGGCCTTCGGAGAAGCCACCAGAGAGGCCCGGGGGCGTCAGGTGGCGTGAGTGAGGCCGGAGGGAGCCAGCGCAGTGCGAGGTGGAGGCCTTGGCCCGTCCGTGTCACCGTGCAGTCACGAGGCTGTCGCGGTGCAGGGGAAGCCGTGTGCGCTGGGGCCTGGCCAGGGTGGCCGCGGGTGGAGCCCCAGCTGCTCCGAATTCAAGTTCCCCGATGCCTGGACATCGGGGAGCAGCAGGAGGAGGGGCGGGGAAGGAGCGTGCTCCTCGGCGTCCGGCCTGCCTCAGCCTGCAGAGGGTCACAGCCCGTTTCCGAACTGTCGAATGCTTTGGAGGCACGAAAGCCGAGAAGACTGAGCTCTCGTCCTGCCTGGACCAGCCGGGCTGCAGGGTGACGGCCGCGAGGAGAAGCGGGGCCCCAGGTGGACCCCACACGCGGCGTCCTGTCCGCTGACAGCGTGAGGGGGCTTTGCCAACTATGGCCAGGGGCCAGCAGTCCAGCACTATCACTTGGCAAGCAGGACAGTGAGGGGCCAGAGTGTCGGGGAGGCCTGGCTGTGACAGAGGACAGTTCCCACCTGTGCTGACACGACCCCAGAGAAGGGCACGCCCCAGTTGCTGTATGTCATTGCTGCTCAGGGCACATGTGTGGGGTGAAGCGTTCACGTTCCGTGTGGGGGTTGTGCACGTGCAGAGCACATCTTGGTTCTTCTCCCTCCCCCCCTCCCTCCATCTCTGGTCCCCCTCCCTTTTGCAAAAGATCCTCCTCCCCACTTCCACTACCTATCCTTTATTTTGCTCTCTATTTATACTTTGGGTTTCTCATATAGAGAAACCGCGTGACATGTAGGTGTGTGTCTGATTGCTTCACTTAACAGTATGGTCTCAAGGTAGATCTGTGTTCCTAGGAATGACTCAAATTTATCCTTCTTCACGGCAGAGTAGTACTCCCATTGTGTGTAAATATTGTATTTTCTCTATCACCTCATCTGTCGATGGATATGTATGCTGCTTCCAAGGTCTAGCTACGAGGAATTGTACTGCCATACACACAGGTGTGCACGGATCACTGTTTAACTCTTTTGGGAAGATACCTAAAAGGGGAACAGCTGAGTTGAATGGAATTTCTAGTGTTACGTTTCTGAGAATTCTCTAAACTGATTCCCACAGTGGCTGTCCTAATTTATGTTCCCACCAACAATACAGAAGGTTTCTTAAAAATCTTTGCCAGCTATTCCTCAGAAGGCTGGTATCTAGAATACAGAGAGAACTAAAAAGAGAATTGGATCCCCATCCCCCAAACAAAAGGCCAAATCAAAAAGGAGGCCAGTGAGACGAGTAGACACTGCACAGAAGAAGAAACGCCAACACATCCAAGAAGAGACGCTCACAGCGCTGGCCACAGCGGAGCTGCATGTGAAGCTACACTGACTGCAGCGACTGCAACGTCTGACCGCCGAGCTTTAGGAGGAGCTGGCATTGCGTGGGCCTGAGAGCGGGGGCGGAATCTCACCACCCTCCCAGCTGGCCCGGATGGGACCGGAGCGGCTGCCAACAGCTGGCCCGTCACACGTGGTGGAGCTGTCTTTGTGACCACAGACTGGAAATCCAGACACGGACAGACGGAGCGCCTGAGTCCCCAGTGGCTCTCTGACCCAGTAAAGCTCCCAAACCCAAGCAGCAAACATGGTCAAGTGGTTTCATTTTCTTATTTGTAAAAATCGATTTAGAGCAGGTTCCAAAATGCAGAAATGCACATCAGCCTAAGGAGACCAAGGAGCCAATGCTAAAAACGGTGTGTCCTAAGAAAGCCCGGAGATGTAGCAGGTTGAAAAGGAAAGGAAGTGTTAGCTTTGTTTAAAGCTAAAGCTAAAGACCTGTGCTCCTGCTGGGGGCACCTGCTCTCCGGCTACCTGATCATCACACAGGAGTGAAATTAGGTTCCCATAAGTGAGATTTTCCATAAATCTCTTCCAGGTCTAATGAGACGGCATGCTGCTTTTTGAATGGTAGTAACGAATCCAAAGTTTTAAACCTGTGATTTCGCCTTACCTTTCTTTTTTATTGTCATCTTGCCTTTTCCTGTTCTTTTGTTTTTGAGACTGTGTCTTGCTCTGTAGCTCAGGCTGGCCTCAATTGCTCAGTGACCTTCCTGCCTCAGCCTTCACAGTGCTCGGATGACAAGTGTGTGCCACCACACCAGACGTTCTGCCCTCGTGTGGAGCCCTTTTCTCCTGAGACTTCAGAATGGAGCCCCAAGTCCTCTTTCTTTTGGGCTGCACTGTGCACAGCACACTTTCTCTACCCGGCCCTCTGCTGAGGGACGCACAGGCTGCGTGGAGGGTGTGGCCCTTATGAGCTGTGCTCGCTAACCGTGGGTGTGAGTGGATAACTACAACAGGACGTCTGTGATTCTAATGGAATTTCTCGTTTCTGCTTTCTGAGGACTCTCCATACTGATTTCCTTAGCCGCTGTATAAGTCAGAAACACACGCTTACATATCTCATCCAGGAAACCCAAAGTACAAATACATATTCAGGAGCAAAATAAAAGGCAGACAGCCGCAAACAGGGAGGGAGCGCTTTCACAATGGGAAGGGGACCAGGACTTGAACGGAAGGAGAGAGAGGAGAGGGAAGGCGATGCAAGATGACTGAAGGTGTGTCTGTCCACGCGCCCTCCACGCCGGAACGGGATGGTTATGTACGGCAAACGTGCTAATGAAACGCATAATTAATTAACCGTTGAGCAACAGTTACCACCTATGTGGTTGGATCTGTGCGAGGGGCTGGCCGGGAAGGGAGCCGCAGTGCCCCTGGCACGTCTTGCACGTGTGTCTGTAGCCTCTCCACACGCAGCCTTGTCGTCAGCCCCCGAATTGTGCTGGCTGAATGTGGTTGCGGCGATTCTCCTGGGTGTGAAGTGCTTCACTCGCCCCATGGAGAATCGGACTTTGTCTCCCCTCAGGTTGTGATCGCGGGAAAGCCTGAGGAATATGTGGGACTTTTAACGAGTGAGTGTTTGCATGGACGGGCAGCCAGCTTCGTACTGTACATCGATCTGCTTTGAGGCCGCTAGCTCACCGCAGCGTGGGTGCGGAGTGAGGAGGAGGATACTTAAGGAGCTTTTCCCTAAGAGGCTTGGAGATTTGCATGACTAATATTTATATTTAGTGATTACAGGGCTGCTGGGAAGGCAGCAATTGGATTTATTTCTACGAAGAATGTACTAGGACCACCCCCAGCCCCAAGTCAGCAGGCCGACCACCACAGGCTCCCGGGTGCCCCGGCTCACCGTCTCCAGCCGGGTCCTTGGCTGCCGCGGACAGGCAGGCGCTCACGGCCTCATAGGAGGCGCTCAGCCGCGTGTTGGGGTCCCTCTTGGGCTTGGGCGGAGGTTGTTTCCGTGGCGACGGGAGGCCGCTGCTGTCATCCACGCTGAATGCAGGATGCAGTGATGGAGACCGGGTGGACGGAGAGCTGGAGTGCGTGTGCCAGGACCCACCCTGGTCTTCGGCTCTTAGGGGGAAACAACACAGACCAGAGAGGCCCAGATGCATTATTCGGGGACAACAGTGAACCCGCCCTGGGTGACATGCCCGGCTGGAGGTGTGCGGGCAGCTGCCTGGTGACCAGCCACCGGGGAAGACCACCCGGCCGGCCTCCCCGCTCAGGGGCCACGAGTACCCTGGGCACTCTTCAGCATCCTTGTTTAAATTCCCCCCAGCCCAGTCCTCCTAGAGGAGCCTCACACTTTCCAGCAGGCACTACTGAATGATCCTTCACACTCTGGTTCTTAAGCAAATCCAAAAGTCAGAATTTCAACCTGCATGATAATTTCTGGGAAATCCATTTTAACAGGGAGCTACTGATACATCAAATGCTAGAGTTCATACCATTTCCCTTTGCAGAAGGAGCGTGCAGGCCGCTCGCAGCTACCAAAGATTCCCTTTTTCACATCCTCTGGCTCATCTCCTCTCTCTCTTCCTTCCCATTTAAATTCCACCAGCAATTATTTAATTATGTGCAAAACTATTATTTTTCCTGTGACTCCATGTGGTTGCCTGGTGCCAAGTGAACTGCTGGTGTTCAATAAATAAACAGACAAATGCATCTTCACTTAATTTTCCATCAGGCAGATAAATACATAATGCAATTGGGAAATTGGGGTGACTACATAGCTCCAGCAGAGAAAATAATAAATATTATTCTGGAAGCCATTTAGAATGAGTAGTTATCTGCCGTATAAAGTTCCTTCTAGCTTCACATGTCAAAGTAATCATATACTAGCGAGATGCCAGTGTGCCCGTTTGCAAGGAGTTTCCGAGCACTAGTTTTGTAATTATATCTTTCTGTGGCAGAGCACCAGCAGGGCCGCATCCACCACCCGGCAGAGCCAGTCGCCCGTGTAGAAAATGAAATCGCAGAAGATGCGAGTGTGGCACTCAGTGGATAATTTGTTTCCCCTGTAATGTTTAATTACAGTTTTCCGTACAAAGGGATTTTTTTTCCAGCATTTAATCACGGAGATATTTGAAGCTAATTAGCAAGAGACACATTGCCATTTGCACTGTAACAACAACAAAAAAATGCTTTGACATAGGCAGTCGTGGGGAACGAGAGTGGTTTCCGGAGAGCAACAAGGTGTCGCCCAGCTCCTCGGGAAAAGTGCGCATCCCCTGACCAGGCGGTGACGGAGGAGGAGGAGGGTTCTGCCCAGGGTCCCCTCGGTGGGGACCCAGCTCTCCAGCGTCCTTCCTGGGGAGGAAGTGACAACAGGAAGAGGAGCCCTGGCTGTCCCAGATTTCTATTTCAGGCTCAGCACCCCAAGTGAACTTCTTCTTGAAAAGCTTTCTATTCTGTATAGCTTTCCATGCTGGCAAGGAAAATGTAACCACTTACACAGGGGAATACAGTATGTCCAGCCCTGTGTGTGGATTTGGTTCTGGACATCACACTGAGCTACATCCCCAGCTCGTCTTTGAATTCTTCTATCTGGAGGCACAGTCTCATTAAGTTGGGCAAGCTGGGCTTGAACTTGTGATCCTCCAGCCTCGCCCTCCCAGAGTGCTGGGATGACAGGCATGAGCCACCACGCCCAGCCACAATCCAGACACTGACTTCACTACCTTTACGGTTCATAGTGGCATCTCAGCTCCTGGGTCTGATTTCCGGAAATCCCTATGCATTAACCTTGCGTGCAGCACAGCTACGTGAGGTTGGCAAGGGCCCCGCTGTGTGTTCGCTGCCATGGAAACAGAGGGCTGGCTGTGAAGCTCTGAGTGCGCTCGAGGTACTTAGGGACAAAGGCTTGGTAGCAGGGGAAGCAGTAATTATTTATGCAACGACACTCGCACATGCTGCATTTAACTCATGGAAGGGAAGCGCAGAAAAGCATTTTCTAGATTGCTGGTGAGTTTTGAGTCACACCGTGCATGCCCGTTCCCGTAAGCGCTTCCTGGGTGACTGATCTTTGAATCAGCATCATTTCCAATCCCCAGACACCTCTCAGCCAGTTGCGGAGGTAATCAAAGCCGCACCGCCCTGCCTTTACCTTCTGGCTCCTTCCTCGGGCCTGCCCTTGGTCCCTGCCTTGTCCCTGGGATAGGCAGTGCCCACTTCCCTGCGGAGCCTGTCGCTCTCCCGGGCGATGTCCGCCGCGTTCTGGATGACGAGGGCATCGTAGGTCCGCAGTGCCAGGTCCTCTGTGTCCTGCAGGAAGCTCCTGATTCTCAGCACCTCCTGCTGCTTGGCGCGCATTTTCTGGAGCAGGTGCTGGCGGGCTAGAAACCCTCTGATAACTTCACAAAAGAACACAAGCCTGCGTCAGAGAATGGAGGGAAAAGGGGCAGAACCCGGCGTGCAAACAAAATTCCCAGCTATGAAATAAGATTATTAACCTTTAGCCCTGTCAGACTTTACTAAAACCCTGCGATCTCACATTAAGACAATCTCTGAATTAAGCAAGGATGACGTGACAAGTGATGTCCCCGACCAGGCGGTGGTGTTGGGCACGTGGACCCCCACTTACTTTGGTAACAAACTGGACCCAGACAGCCTGGTGGGAAAGATGCAGCTCCAAACCCCGAGAATTTGGGGCTGTGGCTCCCATTTTGGAATCAATGACTGTTTTTTGTTATCTTGGAGTATGTCAGACACAGCTAAGATCTGTGGAGTTGGTCTTTGAAGTATCACACATATCTGATTACAGGACACTGACTTAATTCCCACAGAAATAAACACCGCACTGAAGGCTCCAGAGAGATTCTGTGTGTGCCTGCTCACCAGGAAAGGAAACCTAGGAAAATGTGCAAAAGTCAGGGGAATGTGAGTGCAAATGCTTTGAAATCACTAACGTGCAAGGGCCAAGTGTGAAAATTGAAAATAAAAATAAAAGACTGGTACTCAAAGGCACCTGAACGTGCACTGCAGTCTATTATACTATTTAATGCCAAGGCCAAATGATGACATAAATGATCATCTTCATTTTGGGAACAAGGACAGTGGAATTTTTTTAATGTCACTAATTCTTCAAGGGGAAGCCAACCGTGGAGAGGCAGACCTGGGATTCAGGTCTGTCTGTCTCCCTTCCGAGGCCTGCTTTGTTCCCTCTGCCTGCCTTCCTGCGGATGTGACAGGAACACAGCATGGAGCAGGGGCTCGCAGAGAGCCATACTTGGGACCAGCGGAGAAAGGACTGGGAACCGTTAGCCAGGTGGAGCGGGGCCGGTCTCCTCCTGAGAAGGGAGCTGTGTGTGTCCCTGACCATGGACAAGACAAGGGCCGGCCCCTTCCCAGGGCCGCGGGGGACAGGCGCAGACTGCGGAGCTCTGAGGTGCAGCAGCATTCCAGCTCCGGGTTTCTAAGGCTGCAGGGAGCTGTGGATGAAAGGGAAACCAGCGCATGTGACAAGGACACGCTATTCTTGTCCATGCGGGAGGGAGACGTGTGTAAAACATTAAGTGCTTGAGGAAAATACTGCATATCTACACAGGAGCCAGTGGGGGCGCTGTTGAAGACACCCCCTTGATGCCTTTTGGGGAGCTGAGCACAACTTTCCTATGAGGAAAACGCATCCGGAACACAGGCGTTATCTTCGTGTTTGGGTTTTTTTTTTAGATGGTGACACTACACGTGGGGTTACTTTGGGGTGCAGACGCATACGGTGGGTTGTAAAACAGTCACGCTGAACTACTCTAAAAGCAGCAAAGCTAAACAGTAGACGGAGAGCCGGGCCTCTGGGACTCTCAGGCGGGAGGAAAGTGAAGACGCACTAGGTGACAGGGCCATCGCAGGAAGGAGAAGCACAGACCGTAACCCGACTGGTTCACCCCTCGCTCTCGGCACATTAGAAAAATGGCAAAGTTGACTTTTGGAAGGTGAAGGTGAGGAGCTGAGGGTGCTGGAATCAAGGACCAAGGTGGACGCTTAGGACTTCTTGGCCCTGCTTGGCAAAGGGCTCCCAGCGTCACCCACAGAGTCCATTGCTGGAAGCCTTCCAAGATTCTTTAAAACGGTTACACAAGTTGCTAATAGGTGGTACCTTTAATAAAGGACAAGCAATGCAAATAAACTGCCAGCAATGGGTACTGCTACTTGTCCTTCTGATCATTCCAAAGGCTGCTTTTAGGATATCGATCATGACGAGATCTTCATTTATGGAATTTATTCATCCAGGGCGAGGTGAACATGGGTGAGTGAGAGTGAACGCTGACTGTAGGAATGATCTAAAATTATAGCGATTGCACTTAAAAGTGACGGTGTTCTTTTCCCTAAATTACAAAGAGAAAAAATGGAATTCTTTTTAAAAACTGGGAAAGACCCCAGGCTATATAAATTTTGAGGAAACCTAGTATCAGAGAAAGGACTGAGGGAGCCATTCTAAGGGATGCAGAAATAAAAACCCACAATCGGTGATTTGCACTTAAGAGCCCGCGATACTCAAAATGCTTTTACGTCCATTATTTCATTTATGCAATACCTGAAATTACCATTTTTACTGGGACACTGTCTTCAAGATCATTCTCAATCTTTATGTTTTAAAAGTGGCCAGAGAGTTTCTGTTTATTTCTGCTGCCTGTCGGCTGTGGGCAATAAGTTCATCTTTGTAGCTAAAGAGAAGAGAAATGTCCAGGGGTCCCTGATGGAAGGGGAGCCCAGATGCCTCATCACATTTGAGGAGACTTTCTGGAGAGCTGGCGTGCTGTTCTGCACACAGCATTACCTCCAATGCCAGGCTCCCTGGCCCAGTCTCAGCGGTGGGTGTAAATTCAGAATGGATCCAGGTGCAGCTGGGGCTGAGTCTGCATATCCAACCAGCTCCAGGTGAGGCAGGGGCTCAGGGGTCACCCAGCTTGGTGCAGTGCTGACTCACCACTGGGGCCTCAAAGGGGGTCCTGGAGCAGACCCTTGGCCCTGCTTTTCCCCTACACGGATGAAGGGTGAAGCTTCAGGGACTGGGTATAAGAGAGAGAAGATCCATCCTGAACCCAGGAGGCCTGGGTCACCCACCCCAGGACGGAAGAGGTGGCTTCAGGGGACCACTTAGAGCCTGCCACGAGACTGTTGAACCTGGGGTGACCCTGAAAGGGCAAGGCTCCAAAGGGCAATGCTGCTGCTGCAGGAAGGGCTGCATCTCCTCGGGAGCCAGAGTCTGTCCTGGGCACAGAGGTGGCCTCTAGAGATATCTGCTGAGACAGGGGCAGAGGTCATGCTGGGCCTGAGGGTCACATACGGGGTCAGCACTGCCCATTGGCATGGGGGTGACTGGAGAGTCCCCTGGCTGTCTATGCACACGGCCATCAGAATCAGCCCCAGTCAGAGCCCGGTGCCCGGAGACCGTGCCAGCAGGAGACCACGCCAGCAGGAGACCGCCCCCTCCTGTCCTTTCCCCTCAGGCAGGGGACTCAGGGGCACCTGAGCAGAGACAAACACCAGCCTCTGTCCAGGGACTCTCTGTATGGAACAGATCTGCAATGGCCAAGAGGGATGCCCTCACTGGGAGTGAGGTCACACACCTGATTGTTACCGGACATGTTAAATTCTGAACAGAGACCCTTGGGGGTACGTACTGCAGCACTGTGTATCATCAGAGAAGGGCGGGACCCACCTAGCCATGCTCACTGGAGTCCAGGGGGGAAATGGAAAACCGAAAAAATAAACCTGAATTGGCAACCTAGCAGGCTCCCTTGGTGGAGGAAGAGTTCGAACTATATCAGAGTGAAGCTCATGATATACTATGCATAAGAATACAGTCAGTAATTAACTCTTTTTTAAGTAAAGGATGCATTGCTCTGAGTCCTTCTCAGAATCCTCCCCCGGCTTCGAACACATTCATCCCATTCTCCTCGAAGCTTTCTGAAGCCGTTCTGGAAGTCCTCTTTCCCGAGTGTCTTTAGTTGCTCTGTAGAGGTTGCCTCCATGGCCTGAACTGATTTAAAACACTGACTTTTCAAGGACATTCTGGCTTTGTAGGAAAACCGAAAGTGGCACAGCGCCATACTCGGTGAATATGCGGAGTGAGCACGACACCACAGTGTATTTACCAGCCTGGCTTTCCCATCAGGAAATCACATTCACCATAGTTTTGATCCCACCTCCTAAAGACATTCACAAAGGAGGACTCTAGAGGTGCTTCAGAAAGAGGCAAGAAGGATGGGATGAGTGTGCTTGAAGTGAGAGGGAGGGTTTTGAGCCAGATTAGTGGCCATGTGCCTTTTACTGTAACTAATTATATAAACGTTCACTGTAGTTTTTGATTGTACCTTTTAAATCACACCAAAAGCCAGCACGCAGGTTAACTTCTCTTGTCTGTGTGCAAGGAATAAAACTAGTAGACAACCTGAAAATTTAAAAATCTGCTAATGATATACATTATGTGTGAGGCACAGCGGCTTTTTAAAAGGGTATCCTTTATTCATAGTCACTTGGACTTTGATAGAAAAACAAATTCTAGATGGAATCTCACCCAAAGTTACAATGAAAAAGATCCCATCAGCTACCGAAGATCTCACCACAAATACTGCCATTGCTTCACCAAGGGAAGTTAACGCGAGGGTCTCCCCAAGGCATAGGAGCAGTTACAGAAAAGATGGTTTGGCTAATCGGCTTGATCTTCTCACCAAAATCTGGCCGTCAAGGGGCAACTGACAGAAAGGGCTTGGCACAATGGCACCAACCCTGCCCTGATATGCCGGGCGGGGAGTTCTTTCTGCTGCAGATTCTAAGCTACAATCTATCTAGTGTCTTGTTTTTCTTAAAAGGACTAAGTAGCCTGTGTCTTAGCAAAGTGAGAAATGCATAAATAAGGTGTGTGGATTCCTGCCTCTAACTCACAGTTTAATTGAAAATTTAACATGAAATTCCATATGGAATCTACCCAATGAAGAATGGGCAGTGCCTACACACACGGGTGTAGAGACAGGTGTGTGGTACGCTGGGCAGGGCTTCCTAAACACCCCACACAGATGGCCCGACAGAGCCCCGGGAGATGGAGAGGGGTCTGCTAGGATGCTGAGCCCACTGACGTGCAAACACAGGCGTGTGAGAAACGAGCTTGAATTCCGAAGCCCTAAGAAGCCCGGAGGCACTGGCGTGCGCGGTTACCTTTCTGGCAGGTCACGATCTTCCTCTGCAGCTGCAGGCACAGGTCGCCGAGCTGCTCTGCATGCCAGTGCTTCAGGAACACCTTGCGGACACCAATCTGCAACACAGGCCGCAGGGACGAGTCAGCATCAAGGCGTCACCAGAGGACAACAGGAAAGGACAGGACCAGAGGTGTTTCCAGAGGATGAGTAGAGAAAGCACACTGCCGGGATTAACTACACTCTCTTCCTTCCTTTCAAACACCATTCCATTTCGTCTAAATTCTGAAGGTGTGTGCTAATGTGTGTGTTGAGTGCTTGTGTGGCCATGTTGTCAGCGATGTGTACAGATGCCTGCTGGGCTGGCTGCAGTGCTCGGTCGGCCCAGACTTTGCTGGAAGAGAAAACCACCCCTGAGAACGCACTGGCACATCTGAGGCTGCTCCCTCATCCCTTCTTTAGGCCCTTCTCTCCACTCAGACTGAACCTGCTCCAAGGAGAAGACAGCCAGACAGACTGAGACCACCCAGATGCCTGACTCTTCAAGGTGCTTCATTTCAATGAAGTTTCCTGTGACACCACATATTACTATACGTGGGACCCTCATACAAAAGCGGTTACTGAACTTCACACAAAAGGGAAGAGGTCCCAAGCCTCCTCTGCACACCCATCTTCCAGATGTTTGCACAAATAGTAGCTATGCCATGGATATCCATCTCCAGAATTTTAAAAGCAATCCATTTTAGCAAGACACCAAGTCAGCTTCTAAGGAGAGGCACCCAGCTTGTCTGGATGCCATACTATTGAGGATAGCTGCTAAAGATCATCCCTGAAACCAGAATCGTAAGCTTCATCCATGTAATTTTTAAATTACTTTCTTGTGTGCCATGCTTGTTTTCTAAATGTCTCCCCACATTTAAAGGGAAGCAGAGAAATAATTGTAGAAGAGCCTGCTGCATCCTAACAGAGATTGCTGGGAAGCTCGCAGTTGATAACTATAAGCAAAGGAAAAATACTGCCAGAGACATGCTCATAATCATAGCCCAGGCATTGGAGACAAACGCCGCTGAAGCAGAGAGAAGACGAACGCGCGCTTTGGAGCGTGAGCTGGGGCATTAAAAGGGTGCCATTGCAGAGCCCAGGCCATGTGTGGAGGAGACAGCAGACGTCTTCGCGTACACACACACATTAGCTCCTGGCGGGCCTGCAGGTCACACCGTGTTCAGAGTGCTGGGCCAGAGATGTTTTGTGAACCTTTTCACGTGGCGCGTGGTGTTGCTGCCCGCCTGTCCAGCTCCCTCTCCCTTGAGCCGTGACCGTGCTCTCAATGAAAGTTTAGCTGGAGATTGCATCCGGAACCTTATCTGACACAGCTGGTCTAATGAGGCTCATCAGTGGGGACGGCTCTCAGTTGCTGGCTGATTTCAGAGAGCGTGGGCAGGTGGGATGTCCACCTGCCTCTACTTGGCACCGTGCTGGGCCGAGCAGGAAACTGGCATGGGCGGGCGGTGCTGAGTGGGTGTGGTCACTCTCCCTCAGTGGCACCGCCGTGCTCTCCCGCGGTGCTCATAACTCACAGTGTTTTTTCTTTTCCCTCCCCAACTGCTGACTTATTTTGGCATCCACAGGATGAACAGTTGGTCCTGTCTGTGAGTTCTGTAGACAAATCTGGGCGGCAGGCGTCGTGTCACCTCTCTGCTTGTCGCTGATGTGGGATGGAGCTCGCGGTGGGAAACTAAATCCCAAGACAAAATCCACACAAACTTGCTTCCAAAATGCAGCTCTAGAAGGGTGACGGTCAGCAGTATGGCTCAGCGGCTGGGGTCAAATGATCACGGGGAAGGGGCCCACCAAGGAGAAGGAGAACAGCTTCTACTCCATCCCCTCATTAGAAAGAGACTGTGGCTAGAGGCAGCTGGACCAGGCACAAGGTCTCCGATGGTGATATTTCTACAAGACACTCCAAAATCTAAGAATGCCTCTCTGGAACATTGTGCTGGTCTGGGGGACAGGAAAGTACCTTTGTCCTCCATGCAGGGGCAGGATTATGACCAAGGACAGTGTTGGCTAAGAGGGGGCACTAAGAGGGGCGGTGAAGGCGCGGTTGGGTAGGATTCCTCGAGAACTACTTTCCAAGGCCTGGGCCTTGCAGGAGGAACAGGAGTGCTTCCGGACGTCCTGGAGGGCTGGGTGGAGGGGCAGAGCTGAGCAGGATGGAGTCAGTGCAGCTCTGTAAGCAGTGAGGATGGGAGAGGCGTCCATGGAAATGGTGGCCACACGGGGGGGCCATTTCAGGAAACATGTGGACATTTTCCGGGCAAATACCTGGGATTTGCTGGAAGGTATAAGGAGGATCAAGTCTACATTTCATCAAAACATCTCTTGAAATCTGTTTTGAGTTGACAAAGTACCTGCTGAGCTGTCTGTGGAGGGCACTGTGGGCTGAGCTTCAGCCAGCAGTCGGCCAGGGAGGCCACACAAGCAGAGAGCAGTATGGCTCAGAGGAGCGGTGGTGGCTGTCACTTGCTGGCCACTTCTGTGTTCTTCATGGCTGAAGCTCTGTCACCAACTGCGAGAGCCCCTTCTCCATGGTCATTGGGGATGGCTCTTTATTTCTCTTATTATGGGGCACTGTGGATATGCCACTAGATAGAGCTCTGTGTCCTATGGAATGTGGACTTACCTTTTGAAATGCATCAGTGGTAGGGGCATAGGAGGGTGGCTTCAGATTAAGGATGAAGAACACAGTGGAGAAGGGTGAAGTTTGTGTGAGATGGGCCGGTGGCAGAGCGGAGGCCTTCCAGCACGCAGTAAGGTGGGGTGGAAAATGAGAGCCCAAGTCAGAGCTCCAGGTCCTTCAAGGACCCGGAGTCCATCCCAGCAGGGGATGGAACAAGTGGCCAAGGGAACGAGAAGGGAAAGGGGAGTTGGGCAGTTGTGGTCTACAGCGCAGAAGCATAAGTTGGGGTGCAGCAGTTCAGGGGATCCTTTCTGCCCTGTGGGGAGCCTCAAAACTGTGGCTGAGATTTGGGGGCTTTGAAGAAGGGGAGCGAGCACAATGCTGCTGTGGATTTTGCTCCTCTGCCTCGTGGGCATGGGCCCAAGGCTGCAGCTGAGAGCAGCTGAGGGTGTCACAGGCAGGGCTGCAATGGGCATAGAGGTGGAGGTGTCCCTGGGATCCAGGACCAGCATGGTGGGCAGGAAGCATGGGGGCGCCGGAAGCACAGGTTTGAGTGTGTGTGTGGGGGGCGTTGGAGGCCAAAGGGGGGCATGCACAGGGGCTGGGGTGGGAACCCGCAGGGACACCCAGGGCTACTTTGCTCACCAGAATCTGCTTCCCTGGGTGGAACCACAGCTGTCCTGAGATGAGGGCTTCCTGGCTCTGCTCCACAGGGAAGAGGACAGAGTCTGCGTGCACACAGTGTCCACCAGGACAAGGCGAAGCCTGGAGCTGTCGGTGCTATGCGACCATTCATCCGGATGGCTTCAGAACCCTTGCTCGAGCACTGGAGTATATTTACTGGCGTCCATGGACCCTTTCACTTTGCATTAGTTTGTACTCTATGTTTGTGGCCTGGCAATATTTGGGGATGTTCTTTGGAAGTTTTAGCACTTGTCTGACTTGTTCTTATGATCTATTTTTGTGATTTGAAAGTTGATATATAAAAGTATGACGTGTGATTGTAAAATACAATAAATAAAAGTTTTATCCCTTTAAAGACTCAGCGCCACCCATTCCCCTCAAAACCCTTGCCCTCCCTTCAAACACACTCATCCCATAACTCTTGCTGCTTCCTGCAGCTGCTCTGGAGTCCTCTTTCCTGAGTGTCTTTAGGTGTGCTGTCCCGGCTGCTTCAGTGTACTGAATCAACTCCAAGTGTTTCCCTTTCACAGTCATTTTTGGTCTTGGAGAAGAGTCGGAAGTCATATGGTATAGATGCAGTGAATAATGTGAACAGGGACACAGCATCATGTTTTAAGAGCCTGCCTTCCCGTTGGATGGTACTTGGTAGCATAATTCACCATAGTTTTTGATCACCCCTCATGAAGACATTCATGAAAGGGGACTTCCAGAACTGCTTCAAAAAGCAGCAAGAGCCAGGTATGGTGGTGCGTGCCAATAATCCCTGCACATGCGAGGCTGAGGCAGGAAGATTGCCATGAGCTGGAAGCTAGCCTGGGCTACATAAGTGAATTCAAGGTAAGCCTGCACTACACAGAGAGACCCTACATCCAGGAAAAAAAACCCCCAGCAAGAGTGATGGAATAAATGTGTTTGAAATAAGAAGTATTTTGAGAGGAACTAGTGGCACTGTGTCTCTCACTGTATATTTTGATCACCATATGGTATTATAGAATGTTTTGATACACTGTATTATGCAAAGATCACGGTAAGCATATCTATTACCTCAAACATATATCACTTTTTTGTAGTGAGAACACTCAAAATCTTTACTTCCAGCTTTGAAAGCTAGACCCAGCACGTCCTGAGCACGTGTAGCCACCTGGCTGCACAGCAGAACCTGAATGTCCTTCTTCTACCTCTTGCTGATCTTTTAAAGGCACCTTGTGCATAGGAAAGTCTCTTCTGTCGTAGAAGGGTAGAATTAGTACTCTGGCTTCGAAGATGCTGGGCATTCATGAAGATAAGAATCTGAGGCTCTTCCTTTAGCCAAGGACCAGACAGGGTGACATGAGCTCCGAATGCTCAGGATCTCCTTTGTCTGTCAATAACTGTGTTGGGGAAAGCCCATTTGCCATTGCTTTTGTCCCGTGGAATGACTATTTCTGCATGGCCAGTCTGTGGAGTGTGACGTGGAGCCCCACAAGCTGAGAATCCTTTGAGTAGACGCTGGGCTCGGAGCACGCACGTCCTTCGTGTTAGTGGCCTCCCGCGCCACAGGGACATCTCTCAGACCAGAAGCCAGGAGAGGCAACCACGCTGTCCCACGCTCTCCCACGGAGCCCTCCTCCCGGACATCCTGCAGACACGGTGTTCTCATCTGAGACTGAAATGTCACTCTGACCCCGTGAAAGCAAACCATCTGTGAATCACAGTCCTCTCTGTTTTCATTAGAAAGCCACTAGAAATATTGAAGTGACAGATTTTAAAGGCTTA